TGAGGTGGGGGAAGAGCTCTTCATGACAGCCAGTGTGGTTTGGCAAGGGGCTCTTTTAAGACTCTCATTTTCAAGAGTCTTGTGAATAAGACCTCAACCAAATGTTTGCGTTCCCATGTCAGGTCAATGAGGGAATGATACGTTTTTAGGCCAAAAGTGCTTTAGGTCAAGAAGCAAAGTTCACATCCCCTGCTTACATGACCTGCAATGTGTAAACATAGTTTAAATGCAATATACTGGGCCAACAGCTAGTAAGAAAGCTTGATAGACAACATAATATGAGGAGGGAGGATGCAGAGGCCAAAAGCCTCTATAAAAACACTGCTGTCTTGGGATCAAGGAGGGTGTGAGCCCTGCGGAGCAGCACCCCACACCCATAGGGGTGGCCAAGTGACCCAGTACATCATGACTGTGCCTCTCTGCCCATATAATGTGGAGGAGCCTGCTGCAACCTTATACTGGCATTTCTTGTCTTCCCTGCAGGATCTGAGCAGTGCAGCTGGTGGGGAAAGCTCTCCTTCTCTACATTTTCACCAACCTCAGCAGGAGCCCATTAATGAATCCAGAGAACTGGGTTAAACTTACCAGACTGTGTGTGTGTCCTGGTATACCAGCCCCTTATCGTAATGCTTTTGCAGTTCTGAAGGCATAAAAGCATTGCCTTTCAAAGCTAGTGCAAACTTTGCTAGAGAAAGCTGCAGGAACATCAGCAGGTACACTGTTTCAAAGCACAGCTCTGTAAATTTCATCTCTTATTTTAGTTCTATGCATCATATATTCAATATTGGCTCATTTTGTAGAGAAGACTAAACCACTTACTTTGTAGGCTAAATAAACAAGGAAAGTCCAGCTTTTTTGTCTCAACCAGAAGTTGCTATACTTACAGCAATGCTATCCAGTAGTTTACCTCCCAAATGTTGGAATAGATTTCTCAATCTATAAATAAAAGAAGAAGCTCTCATGGGAGGATAGAAAAGTGTGTGTATATCAATGCAGCGAAAACCAGTTCATATATTTCCCCAGTTGTATGAAATTAAACATGACGCAGTTAAGGAAACAATCAGACATTCCAGCATTGGAAAATTAACAATGACAGAAAATAGATATTCTGGTATGATGTCATTGCCAGGGACCAATCAGGAATGATGTAAAAACAGCCTGACAATATTTAGTAGAAAATGAAGAAGCATTATACAGAAGGAGATGCTGTAGGCTTATTGCCACAATGAGAAATGGCAGGTGCATGATGTATTACTTTATTAAAAACATCGCCATTATAATTTAAGGTCTCATCACTAACATAAATGGTTTTAAATATATCATTTTTACATTGATGATGCTGGGAATTCTCTTGTACTAGAGCAATTTGTTTCCTTAAAAATATGTCTTTGAATTAATGACTTTACAGATTATTTTTTTTAAGAGTAAAATTTTGATCCTGAATTTTGTAACTCTGTATTCATGCTAAAAACTTGATATTCTGATAGCCTGGTGTAAACCTATTTAAATAATGACACACTTTTCTGACTATTAAATTATTTTTTATCCATTGTAAGGCAGAATGAGCATTCAATGTGGATTTTCATTTCCATACTTTTTCTACCACTGAGTAAGAAATGCCACAAAAATGCCCACGTATTGGTCCTCAGGAGCTCCAGGAGTGTCTGATGCTTAAAAACAGACACAGGCAGATTTCATTGGTAGTCTGTATTTGAATTTCCAGGACTAAGTTTCTGTTTAATTCAGAGTTGGTGGTTTTGTTTCTGGAGAGGGTGTGAACGATTTTGCCCACAAGGGCTGTTGGGGAGGGCTATAGGCCAGCATCAGCTGGTGCCTGCAAATGGCAGTGGAGTTTGGCAGCTGAGGGAAAGTTGCATGGAAAGAGCAGGGTGGAAAATGCCAGTTGTGCATTTACCAGAATCTAAAACAGCAACGCTGAGCACAGTCTGGTATCTGTTTGGTGAAGCAGGTAAAGACTCATCCATCTGGGAGATGGTAGGTCTGGAGCAACACTGAGTTTGCTCCTTATCTTGGTCCTTGGTCTCTGGTTAGACTGAGAGCAAACAGGGGTGAATGTTCCTGGGAAGCCTCTGTTATTCTGCTCTCCTTTAGAGAAAGGCTTCACTGCAGAGGTAGCAAAACTAGTTGTAGCCAATGCAAAACCACCAGCTAAAGGTTTTCAGCAATTACTGACCATATGGATTCATGAAAAGGTAGAAAATTACGCACGTCGTGCAGATCCCAAACCTTGTGACTCATTGCTTCTCAGAGCAGGAGGCAAAGCAATTAGCGTCGATGACTGAATGTAAAGAGAGGAAAACCCCAAGACAGAAAAGGTTCAGCTGGGAAAGAAGCAGTGAAGGGAATTTCATTACCAGATCTTAACTTCAGCATCATCATCTCAGAGAGCTGCCAGGTCAGGTATGGCAGCATGTGGCCTGCCTGAGGAAAGAGGACTTCCCGCCACCCAGCCCAGGTGAGCAGAAGACTAGTAGCATCACACTGGAATGCTTTTCCCCATCACCTTTAATAATCTTTACCATTATAATGTAATCAAAGTCATTAGCAACCTTGGCTACCTTTTTCCCTCTCCCCGTCTGACTCCCATCCCTGCCAAGCTTTTTATACTCAAAGGAGGCACAGTTGAAATGAAAAGGGGCCAAATCTGAATCTAAATAACCAGCTGCAGTGAAAGAGCTGGCCTCTCATATGTGTAGGCTGTGCCAATTACTGAACTCAGGTCTAAGCTTTGACCTGCAGTCTTCTCCAGAAATTGTCCCTTACTTGTAAGAGGGACCACTTTGTTCTCCACTTTCTGTGATGATGATGTTGCACTTGTTCTTTTCTGGGATGTGTGTATTTATCTAATGTTTCTACCTTGTTCCGTGTGATAAACCCAGGAACATAGGAGAAAAACTTTTGTTGCCACACCACTTTCTACAGCCCTAGAGAGGACCAAAACAGGTCTTGCTCCTGGATAAACTTGCTCACTGCACCCCACCTCTTGCTGCAGACCTCTTGCTGGCTTGGGCAGAGAGTGACCTGTCTCTCTGGTATTGCCTACACCTTTGGTTATATGAAGCAGAGGAGCAACACCTGATTCCTAATCCCTACTGTATGGTGATGCAGGAGTGAGTAACACACAGACAGAACTGAGCTCTTGTAGGAAGACAATGTATTTATGAAACACGAGGAAGAACCAGTATATCCCCCAGCTCTACAGAGGGGTGGCCCAGGAGTCATCTTGAAGGCACAGAGCCACTTTAAGGCAGATAATTCAAAGGTACAATTCAGATTTTGACAGAAGGCATCAGTATCTAAAAAACAATCAACTTGAGACAGTTTTAGGCAATGAGAAGAGACAAGATGTTCATACCATGCAAATGTTAAAGACAATGACAAAAAAAGTCACATTATAATTTTCACACAATACCTTTCTCTCACAATAAAAGCCAGCCCTTCTTTCCCTTTGCTGACCTGAAAAACAAGCCTCAGCCCCACAGTTCATAGTCCTGAAGACAGAGTCAGCATTTGTGGGCAGATCCCACTTGATGTACCAGGGTTCCCAGCCTGGCCACATCCTGCCCCAGGGAAGGTCTCTGCTGCAGCATAGCCCATCATCTTAAAAGAATCCTGGTGACAGAAACAAAATCACTGTCGGGGGAGTCATCCTCCAAGCCATGGTGAAGCCAGGTACCCTCTTGCTCTCTGAGAGCTGCGCCAGACCCAGAAATGAGCCCTCCTTGCAGCAGCAGTGCACGCCATGCAACACTAGTGATAGGGCAAACCACCTTCTGATCAGGGACCGTGGTGGGCCACATGGCCACATCCTTTCAGTGCATGGCTGTGGGACTACCCACTCCTGCAAGGTTTGCTGCTGGCCAGCAAGCTGGGGAGTGTGTAGCCCCTTCTCTCCCTGCAACCCACAGTGGTCTTGTGAGCATGTTGGCTGGAAGACGGCTTTTGTCCCCGTGGGCTCTCTCCAAGCTCCTCCATGGAGGCTCCCGACGAGTGCCAAGTAGCGCTGATCACATTTACTACTGCAGTGCTTAAACACCAACTAAGAATCTCCACTGTGCTTGAAAGGGAAGAACTTTTGTGATGGCAACTTTGACAGTGGTGACATTGGCCATCAGAAAACTGGACTGAAACCAGACTGAAACTCCCTACATCTCCACCAAGGAGTCCTCATGAGGTAAACAGTTCTACTTGCCACTGGCCTGGGTTACAAGGCATGAAGGAAGTCTCTGCCATGGCAGGGGGTTGGAACTGGATTATTTTAAGGTTCTTTGCAACCCAAACCATTCTATGATTCTATGACCCTAAAGGAGCACAGTCACAGCTAAAACACGGGGGTTAAATCCTCACATTCTGCTGGCAGTGCTGGGGTGAGGGCTGCACTCTACTTTCCAGTCCACTCTTTCCTGATTGTCCTCTCTGGTGAGAAAGAGGGGTTACTCATACCATTTAAGCGAATTGAGTTACCTTCTGGATGCACCTAATTCTTGCCAGTGTCTGCACATGAACACCAGCTGCTAATTTCAGGTGCTGCAGACCACATCTAAGCCAGATGTGAAAGTGCACTCTATAGGCATGACATAAGAGCTGCCACTGAATCCATCGGGACTCCATCTCCAAAATGGGCATCATGCTGTTCTCTGCTTGATGGGGTCACACAGCTGGGTCCTGTTAGTGCTTCACCTCATCCCAGAGCTTGCCCTCCCTGCCAGCCTCTCCCCATTCCACAGGGATTGCATGACAGAGCCAGCCCAGGCAAGCTGCGGAGGCACAGTCCTGGGGCCTGGAGAGCAGCTCACCTGCACACTCGTGGGGTTGTGCCTGCATTTGAGTGAAGCACAGGCTCTGACATGCACTAGGAGCATGACTGACACTGCACATTCCAGGCAGACACAGAGCTTATTGCAACATTGCATCAAAGGGCTTTGGCCTCCTAAACTCCTATAGTACATGTCAGCCTCTTGCCTCTCACCCCAACTGCAGGTCTCTGCGTGGGTAAAGCACTTTCCCTCAATTAAAAAGACTGCCCTGGCTTGGGCAGAAGGCTAAGGCTGCCTCTTCTGAGATGCTCAGTGTCCGCACTCTGGCAAAGGCTCCACAGAGACACAGCTCCCACCATAGCTGTACACTGCACAGTAAATCTTGCTGAAATCTGATTGACTTTTTCTGACTCCATCAGTCACAAAACCTGGTCTGAGGCAAGCAGATGATTTGATGAGATCTCTACCTCATGTGCCAGAACTTGCATGTTCAGTTTTCTACTGCAATAGTGGAACCTGATGGACTTGTCAAGCACCACGGAATAAATAATAAATGAATGCCTATTCTGAACTGGCATTCATTCCATCAGCAAACAACTCTAGTACCATGTCAGCACAGTATACATCCTGCATACCTCCATTACTCACTTTTCACTCTGTGCAGAGACGGGTGCCATGAGCAACATCCTATGTCACGCTCTCCCCTGAAGCTTGCAACCAGTAGCAGTCTTTTCTGCATGGTAGGGGGACACTGAAGCTCTAATGTAGAGCACTGAGTGTGCCGGGGTTTCTGGGTTTCTGTAGTCTTGTAAAATAGTTACAGAGGTAAAAAATCTTGCCTTGCATTAACAGGAATTACAGGGGATGAGAATTCCCTCTAGCATCAAGTCAGCTGTGTACAAGGGCTCTTTTCACAGTCCTTGGATAAATGCCAGCATAGGTCTGCACCTCCTTTTACTCACTCAACCCTCTTCTATCCTCCCTGTTCTTTGCACCCAGTGCATATGCTAAGACCTGAGGCCACCTCCTCTATACCAGGCCAATGCTCTTAGGGCTGTTCCAGAGATGAAGCACCAACAACTGTGCTGGTTCTTCAACCATGAAGCACCAACAGCTGCGCTGGTTCTTGAACCATGAAGCCTGCTTTTTACAGAAAAGTCAAACTATGACAAGACGTAACTGTGAGGCCATAACTTATTAAATTAACCTTTAGATGTGGCATAAATGTACAGGATTTGGAGAGCAGAACACTCTGTCTCCTCTTTTTCTGACAAATTCACAATATTTCAACTAATAAAATATTGCCACTTCCTCCCTGCTAGAGTTTCCCTGATATCATTAGGACAAACACACAGGTCTGTCAGATAAGGCTGCAAAGTTCCTCCTGAGATGCCCTCCTAGCTTCTCTGTATAACCCCTCCACTATTCTCAGGCAGTGGATCAGTAATTTAGGTGGACTCGTAACATCAATCCCTGCCACTTTGCCCAGCTGCAGGCAAACTTGGCTCTCATAAGGGAAGTGTACTTGCATCTCCACCCATGGCCCATAATTTGCTGAATATGAGCACAGTTGTTCCTAATGACTAAAGTGAAAAGCACAGAGAAACGTCGAAGTACCAGCAGCCTAAAGTGCCTAAGAGCTCCTCCTAAGAGCTCCTCCCAAGATTTCCTTGGGTCAGCATATGGGCATGTGGACACAATACAGTTCAGAGAACTTCCTTTGGTCCCCTGTCCAAAAGCACGGATACTGGAGAGATGGGGAAGGAGGGGAAATGGGAGGGTTGCTGTTTTCTCTTTTTGCCATTCAAGTTTTGAAGGATAAGCTGTGTTACTCTAAATAAACCATTCTGGGCCTAGCTGGGATTTGTGTGTGTTTGGTTTGCGCTACACAAGACTCAATGGGAAATATGGCACCTCTCCCATTGTACCATCCGCCAGACCGCATGGCAGGAAATACGAGTCCTTCACTTGTCAACATCTCACCTGCACAACTTCCCCCTGCAAGACACAGACCCCATGTCTTGGATACAACTGCTCACAGGAGAAGCTCCTGCTCCCCTAGCCTGACCATTCCTTCCTCAGCTGTGCCGTCCCATTAGAGGGCTCTGGAGGCAGAGGAAGAGTTTGTGTGCTCGGCTCTGTGCCTCGATAAAGCGCACATCGAGACGAGACGGTGGACGGTGCTGCCGAGCAGCTTTGGGGTTGAAGGCTACAGTGTCTTCAGCTGTCGCCGGTTCCACATGCCCCGCTTCGAGTGAAACCAGTGGAAGAAGTTTCTCAGGGAGAGACGCTCCACTTCCAGCCCGGCCTGCAAGATCCTGGGTAAAGGAGAAGGGAAAACAGGATAACAAAGATACACTGGAGGCTCAGCCCCAGGAAATCTCTAAGTTGTGCTGCTGTCAAGAGACTGCAATCAGACTGAGGAGTGAGGAATACCTCAGGCATCTAATCTATCTAATGACACTTGCTGAGTGTTTATGCACCCTTGAAAGCAGGACTGGTCAGGAGCAGCCTACATATGACAGGCTAGGAGGAAAGACAGCTGTCAACATGGGATTGCTCAGGATGACAAGGGACTCCTACCTGTCCAGGAGTTCCCAGTCCTCTCCACCCCAGCGGTCCCGAAACTCTTTTGTGTTCATGCCTCCAATCTTGTCCAGGTCAGACTTGTATATGCCCAGGAGACCAAACCCATTCACCTCCCAGTAGCCTGAGAATGACACAAAGAGGCACAGGTATGTTGGCATTTTGAACCATCGATGACTCCAGCTTGATGTTGTCATCAGAGTGTCAACTCAGTGCCAAGGCAGAGCCACACATATTAAAGCTTTGGGAAGTGTTAGGACTGCCCTATGAACCTGTTAGCAGAGCCTCTCACATCTCCTGTCTGGCAGCATAGTACCTAGTGTATTTAGACCACCCCAGCTTCAAAGGGTTGTCCCTGCGCCTGGGTGGCTCAGGATGGCCACCTGTCTAACATCGGGATGACTCTAACATCAGATGATCTGTGCCACCCACTTTCCTCCCCCTGAATTGGATTGGTTTCCCTCATCCCCAGGCGACCAGCTCTCCTCAGGACAGGCTATGCCCCCTAACAAAAGAGAGAAATGGACAGAAAGAAGCAAAAGAGGAGTTTGTCAAGATTCTCAAATCCATAGAGATTCCTAGGAGACAACCAGAAGGAGTGTCATGTAAAGGGCTCTGCTGGCTCTCTGATCTCAAACTCAGATTCTCAACACTGTTAAAACCCATCCTATCTCTAATATACCCTCAACTAGTGCCCCTGGGAGTATCTTAAGCTCCAGACTTCAACAGCACCAGAGAAACAACTGTAGAAGTGGCAGGCACCCTCCTTCTTTCCCCATTCCCCAAGATCTGAGCCAAAGAGGCTCTGCTCCCTCTTACCGTCAGGCCACTGTGGGGACATGCCACAGTGCAGCCTCATGACCATGGGTGCGAAAGCCATCTTGCCTTCCACGCAGTGCTTCCGGATTGAATCAATGACTCCAGCTGGGAAGTGGATATGGAGGTCACACAGGAAAATGATGCTATGCGGGTCCTGGAACCAACCACACAGGTTGGGAAAGAAATAGGTTGACTTTAAGTAAGTCTTTCTTGAGGGGCAGACGTGGGACATGTGGGAGAGAATTAAAGAGCCATTTGTTGCTACATCAGAAACTGAGATCTTAGAGGCTGGCAAAACAGCCACTGAGGGGCTGTTCAACAAAGGGTGTGAAATACTGTAACTATGACTTGTCAAAGCCAGTATCACAAAGCTGCTACTGCTGTTTGATAGTCCCAGCAGGCAGACCAAGAACTGAATGGACCACACGCTCCTTAGAATAAAGGGTGAGACCCTTATTCTAGAGAGACAGGAAACACATCTACATTTGATCTGTTCTGCTAGGCTACTCCCTTCCCTAAAACCCCAGCATGTTCAGTGTGAAAGGCAGAGCACCAGACACATACTAGAACCTTCCCTGTTTCCACCCCAAGGCCCCCAGGCTTACCGTCACGAGGTCTATTCCCGCCTGCAGCCCGGCAGAACGCTCAAAATTCCCTGTGAGCTTCAAGTACCGATAGCTGGGGGTCAGAGGGGAAAGCCAAGTTGAGTGATGCATGCCGGCAAGCACAGAAAGCACCACTAGCAGTGGTACACTGCAGGCATTGGGCTGTGGAGCTGCCCCTGCCCCCATGCACCTCTCAGGGAGGAGGAAAGCCTTTGCTCTGCGGGAGTGCACAAGCTCAGTGCTGCCCTAGGCCCCAGCATGCCCTGAGGGTCTTCCCTCTTGTGAAGCAAGGATAGGGCAGTCCCTAGCCAGACTTTTCAGCTCTAGTCCAGCTCTACCCTAGGGCTAGACATGTTACTGGGAAGCCTGGTACATAAGAGAAATGACCAGCAAAGGCTGGTACACAACAGAGTAGAGTAAGCCAGACAGTTACTCCAGCAAGTGGAGTCCCCAGAGGTCTCCACACTGTCCCATTCGTCAGAGCTTTCTTGTCCTCCCCCTGCCCTATCACTGTGAGACTTGTTTTCTCTCTTGCAAACTTAACAAAGCCAGGAGAAAAGAGATGCATCTGGATGGATGAATACAGTAAGTACTGTCTTACCGTTTTATAAGACTGTTATATACACTGTAGTGTATATAATTTATACATATACATAATTATACATTATAACAACAACATATTCATGTATATGGATGGATATCTTTGGGATATCACAGGAGACTGTGGCTGGTCAATACACAGAGATTGGCAGATGTGCAGTGTTTGCAGGCATGTGCATGTGAGCTGGTTTTTGTGACCAAGCAGTACTCTCACCTGTGCAAGGCAGACCGTTTCAGAGCCTTCTCCACATCCATGTCATCGCTGCTGTAGTCTGTGATGATGACGTTGAAGTATGGATCCTTAGTGACTCGGAACAGCTCCTCCATATCAGAGATGAACTGCAGCACCCAACGCGCCTGGTTTTTCACTGGTGGTATTGCAAGAGGGAGAGAATCAAAGCAAAGCTAATTTCAAAGATGCTGTGGCTTCTCAACAGGCAAGGCTTCTTGCCTTCCCTCATACCCCGCTAGCCCTGCAGGGATGCTGAAATAGGCCCAGGCTGAAAACCTGGACCAAACTGCCCAGGAATCAGTGTTAGCTCTTTCCCAGTGTGTGACAGGAGTCTTCTTTGAGCTTACATGCCAAATTTGGGAATCTGGGCTCAGTCTATTTCTGAGGGGGTTTAATTTGGAGAGAACAGAAATTGGAAGGGACTCAAACAAGATGGCTGAGGCTGGCCCAGACCCACTGTTCAGGAGTGCTCTGCTGGGAACCTCTCACTGTGCCATCCCTCTCTGTCCCCCTTACCTGGCACCACAAAGTGAACCACAGCACGGTGGTTCCAGGAAAATCCCTGTGGCCAGCACAGCTCTGGCTCGTCTGCCACAGCCATCAGGTGCCGCCGGCGACCCCACGCCATGTTCCTCATCTTCCTCTCCTCCTCCTCATCGCCACCGATGCCCTGCCAGCCCCGTGCGAAGACGTACTCGCTGAAGCGAACGGGCCGCCCTCCCTGCTCCAGCAGCTCCAGCTCCAGCAGGTAGCGGCTGCCCCGCATGCGGTCCTGCCGCTTCTCCACGTTCACAACACGCTGCAGCTGGAACCGCCTGCAGGGGATACAGTGGAGGGTGAGCACATCCCCTGTACACCAGCCCCTCTCCCTCCACCAGCCTGCTCGGCTCTGCTAGGCTCTTTCCTCCTGGCTAGCACAAACCTTTGTGTCCCCAGCCTCCCTCTGCTTTGCTGCATCACTTCCAAAGTCCCATGGGAAGGCTTAGCACCTGTTTCCTAAATCTACAAGCATGTGGGATTAGAACTGGGATGCCAGCCAAGTTGGCAAGGGAAATTAAATAAAGGTGACATAGAAAATAACAAATGTGACTGAATGATTGAATAGTAAGTGTATTTGACACCTCCCACAGCGATCTTGGCACAATGAGTATGTTTGGGCTAGTGAAATTGGCTCATGACAGCTTATCAGCCAATTACACAGAGTAGGACTGTGCAATTCTACAGTAAAAACAGGGTTGAGCTATACGGTCAGAATAGCCAAAACAGGATGAAATGTCAGGTCATGTCTCTTCGGATCACAACAGTTCCTGCTGTAAAACAGACACTCAACAGTTAAAATGCTGAGAAAAGCTTATGTGTACTGATCAGTTAGACCGTGACTGATGTGACCCTGAAAAAACAAACGCAATCTTAAGATGTAGCGTTAGAGCTACTTCCAGCAAGGATTGGGAACTAATAACACCCACTTTATAAACACATCTGGGATACTGGTCACTTACGTACAAGAAAATCAATCCAAAACGAAACCCGCATGGAGAAGGACAGATAGGAACATTGTGGAAATAGAGGCCAATTCAACAGAAGGGTCAGGAGTTGGATCGTTTAGAAGCTTATAGAAGCTTAGAGAAGGTATATCTTTGCCAGAAAGGCAATCAAGATGGTAAGGCTTGGGAAGAAAAAGAACCATATTGTGACACATTCAGATAACAGTATAGGGTATGAGGTCAATATACGGACCCACATAATCTGACAGATTCCTTCCGATCCTACGTCCTAAGTGATTCATAAGCTGAGATGTGGCAGACACCAAACAACCACCACAAGGAGCTCCAGTCCCAATTCATATCAGCAGGGTTTCTTAATCTTCAGCTGGTAAAATGCTAATATGTGTTCTCAATACCTACACTCTGCAAGGAGGAAGCCAGCAAAAGGCCAGTGGTCATCGGCTGGATGGAAACCTCCAATCTTTTGGGTTTACTGCCACCAGCTGTTGGAGGGCAATATTCAGCCCCCAGACATGGTCTGGTGTCCAACAAGTCCAATTTCTCAGACAAAAAGGTATTTAAAGCCCAATTTGTTTCATAGACTCCTTGCTTAAAGTCTTATTTCCCACATCTACTTTCTCCTCTGATTCCCACTATCTCCTTACATGACAAGTATTCCCTGTGTAGCATGGTACACCAGCTCTGGAATACCACCCCCTTGGTTTCTACATCATGCCTTACCCTTTAGTCCTCTGGTTGAGCTTCTTCAGGAAGACACGTGTGACTTCCAGGGCCTCCCTTTCGTTTAGCAGCAAATTTCCTGACGTGTTGCATTTCAGGTCAATCCAATCTGTGCGCAGCATATGGAAGTCCAGATTGCTTGTGCTGAAGGTCTGCTCCCAGTTCACCGCCTGGTCAAACACTGGTACGTAATCAAAATCCTCTTCATCTTCCTCCTCTGGCTCCCCATCTACCTCTTCATCTTCCTCTTCTGCTGCCACAGGCCCAGACTTGCCCTTTGCAGGAGATGCCACTTGCACCTCTCCCTTAGCCATGTCCCCACCATTGGCCGCCTTCTGCTCAGCAATGTAGGACTCCACTTGGTTCAGCCACTGTGTCAGCCCAGGCTGCTGGCTGGGGCTGGCTGTGCTCACAGCACGTCTGCCAGCCTTGCCAGAGATTGGAGTTCCCTTCCTGTCTGGCACAGTCCCTGGTGGCTGCAGCCCATCCTTAGCAGTGCTAAGGTCTCCTTGAGGTCTCAGTCCTTTGGGACTCATGACCCCTGAGTTCCTGGGGACACTGAGAGGCTGCTGAGACACAGTCTTAGAAGGAGGGTTTGCCTTTTTGACAGTTGCTCTCCTCTGGATAGCCCTGGCGTGCTGTGGAGGGCTCCTGGAGTTGTCTTTGATGCCAGCTTTTAGACGGGGTCTCTTCATTACTGGGTTCCCTTCTAAGCCAGCCTGGCTGAGGCTGTGGTTGGCAGAAGCCACCATGGCTGATTTGACACCAGACCTCTTTGTCCTTCTCCTCTGTGTCCCCCCTCCTGTGTCGCCACCCACTACTGAGAGGAGCCGACGGCGCTCCCGAAGGGAATAGTCCTCATGAACATTATCACTGCCCACCATGTTGCTGGGAGCATTGTGCTCCAGCTCTGCCTTCCCTGTGCCAGGCAGCTCGGGGGCACTGGTACTCTCCACATCCTGCTCCACATACTGCACATCATCCAGATTCCCCTCTTGGGAGCCTGTGGGAGTAATCACAGTTACACCTCTGACATCTTCCCACTGCCTTTTCCGTCCTGACCCATCACTAGCCCCACCACGGGCAGCTACTTCTTGCCTCATCTCAGCGTTGTCTCCTGCTCAGAGTGACAGGGATGATCTAACACATGGGAGCTGTGCACCCTCCTCAGCACCTATATTAGATAGCATTGCCAAAGGCTGAGGAGGTGTTTGCCATTGCCTTTAGTCATCACTCTGGCCACAGCTTTGCAGGGCAGGTAGGAGCATAGGAAACCACGCTGCACACTTTTGGCTCTGTCACTTCCGCCCATATTTTTTGCTGGAATTGCATCGTTAAATGAGGGACTGAAAGGTAGTTGTCCCATTGCCCACTACAGCCCACTGTTTGGTGACCTCTCAACCTGCCCATAAAACAAGTGAAAGTAGCAGCAAAAATCTGTTCCCAGCCACAGCAATCTGGCAGTGAAGGGCTGTGACTCCCTTGGTACAGAAAGTCAACTACTTCTTTCAGCTGGTGCTGGAAGATCACACACCAAAGTGATGGATAAAAGGATCTTCCAGGTTCTGACATCATAGCCCCTACCTGGCTGCTCTGTCTTTTCTCCAGAGTCCAGGCTCTTCTCCGGCCGATCCATTTTCATGTACTTATAGAATCCAAATCTGCAGAGGGAAAGGCAAAACACAAGTTTGAGAAAAGTTACTTTGCCCTCTCCAAATAAATGATGGCCACTGCTTCAAAGGTGATGGTCCATTACTCTGATTACATCCACCCAGCACCTCTAGATCCTACTTCACCATCACCATCTTTCATCTCTTTGGGCAATAAGATCTTACTCTGCACTGTCAAAGACATCCATTTTCCTTGTTTACCATTTCAGTCTTTCAGACATTTTCTCATAAGTGCAGGAGGAAATCCCAATATAAGTACCCTGAAACACTTCTTTAGCCTCCTTTAAGTTGCTCACTTATGATACAGTGCTCACAAATGCAAGTCACCATTCTGTAAAAGCAGCTCAGGCAGGTAAGTGGCAATGATCTCTCTTTCTGTTTTCTCGTACCACCACTGTCTTTGTGCTGTCCTCATATGCCTGTACTTCAGCCATTTGGGAGGGATTTCCAGGACTGTTTCACTCCATGTGTGCTTGATGTCAAGCAAAACGGGCCCCCTATTCCCAAGTCCTGTCACAATACAAATGTCAAAGCTGTCAAAGCAATAGACCTGGGTGGCACCTTCCAGCCCACAGCAGCCACCTTCTCCATTCTTTACTAAGAAGGGAGGAAGAAGATCCTGATGACAGGAAGGCCACTATCAGCTGTGTCACCAGAAAAGTGACTCTTCTTATCCTGCAGAAAAGTCCTCCTGAAAGGAAGGGAGACCTCACACAAGGTTTCACTGGGGAGCATGCAAGTGGTAGTTCCCTCACAGGACCACCACTGAGAGCCAGACAGCAGTGAAGGTGAATGACATGCATTTCTTCCCTCAGAGAGATGCTTGATGGTGATCATGGTTTGGTTTTCACAGTAACAGCCATCAGGAGGCTCCAGCTGCTAGCAGGCAAAGTTTGCTGGAAATACACTCCCTGATATAATGGAATAAACATGCTCTGACCCAGCTACTGGCTTAATGGATCAAGAAAAGCAATGGCAGTTTATCCTTGAGACCTAAATATATTTTCATTTAAAGGGGATATAAGTTAATGAAATAAACTATAAATGTTCTAATGTTTTGCAAAGCTTAGGGAGATCTTTAAGAATTAAGAGAGTTCTATTAGAAGTAAGTATGAAATTCCACCCCAATTCCAGCCTTCAAACCATCTCCTTCCACCCTGCTAGGGACCCTTCATTTGCAGCATCCTACCTTTCCAAGTAATATGGGTTTTCCTGATAGAAGCATTTGTTATCTTTCTCCATGTGGCTCAGGCGGCTATAATCATTTGGGTAAACAAAGGATAAATGAACCTGGAAAGACAGGAGGAAAATAAAGTAAAACCCTCATAAATACCAAGTATCAGTCACAAGGTGATCCAGACACAGCTGCAGGGTAACCAGCTCTTTTGAGAGGGAGCAGAAGTTGCTCACTGTTTGCTTCTCTGAGGCACCTCGTAGCAAGTTGTGAGAATGGAAAACAGAAGCAAGCGTGCTGGGATGGGTATGCCTTTTCCTCAATCTCTCTCAGCATTGTCTGTCCATCTCTGTAACTGTGCATCTCAATCTTATAACAGAGCAAGAACTAGCTGGGAGAGAGGTGGGCAAGTCCTCCTGAGGAGATGAAGCATGTGTGGAGATCTCCAGACAAGGCTGAGGGATGCAAGTCCCTCAGGGAGTGTAGGCTTGTGCTGGCATCCAGGGAGGACAAACCATACTGGTGACTTCAGTCCGCTCTGCAATATGGGGTATGAATCCCTGCTATGTTGCATTCCCCATAAATGCGAACTCCCTCTCCTCAAGACTTGTCAGGATATTTAGTAGTTCACACAGACTACAGTTCACTCATGGGGAAGAAAATCCTTGGCCATTTTAAGGCTCCATGTGAAGGCAAGCTCTGCTCTTTGTTTTGAGTTCTAAGGAGCTAAGGAACACACACATTTGTACCCCAGTGACACCCACAAACAGCGTGTAGCACTCATCTCCCTTTTCTTAGTGTTGCCCTTTTCCTGTACTGGGATGCACACACCTGAACTGCTGATGGTCAAATCTGCCCAGGAGCTTCAGGTCAGTGGAGAGACCCTCATGTTTAATGTAAACTCCCTCCTTCCTCCTTGTGTTCCCCTGGGCAAATACCTGCTTAAGGAGTAAAACTTACAAACTGGAGTCCCTGGTAGCGCTGCAGAGGGAATCCATTCACCAGGTAGCTGGGCTTGTATGGGCAGTCTGGCAATGCTCGGCGCACACGAGACTTGCTGAGCAGAGGCACTGAGAAGAAGAAACACATAGGCAAGTGCTGTTGGAGAAGCCCTGCTGCAACCACTGCACCAGCTTAGCTACTTCTGTGCCTGGTTTCTACTTATCCATGTGAAATACTAACAGATACATCAAGCAAACGATCTTGTACAGCTCATCTCTTTACATTCCTCTACAGCACTTACACAAAAACATTATGCTTGGGAATGTTGTATGAGCTGGATGCCAAGAACGAGGAGCTGGGTTTAATCTGTGCTTTGTCTCCTACAGTGACAGATGTTGTATGCTGCCCCCCTCTTCTGCAATGGGGAGAAAAATAGGTGGCCTTTGATAGCCATGACAAAGGAGGACAATCCTTCTCAGTTGTGCTACTGCACATGCTGTGACAGGCTGTAGCTACCTCCTCATCTGCTTTGCAAGTCTTACCTTCATATAGAGTGTCCCGGGGGTCAGGCTTCAACATGTCAGCTGGGTGTGCCTTGCTGCCTGTGCTGTCAGCGGGCCTCCTCATGTGACTGGCCAACGTCTGCGGGATGTGCCCAACCTCATCCATCTTTAAAAGCGTCTCGTCTAGAAACCAGAGGGAGAACGGAAGGGGGAAGAAGGGCTAATTTGTCCCTTGGCCCCAAAAGGCACCCCTGTCCAGTGTCAGCCCTTTCCTAATAGTATTGCATCTGTGGAACTAACAACCTCTGGCATAGTAATGCCTAAATGGGGCTGGTCAGGAGCTTCGCTGCAAAGGCATCATGGAAAGGAAAGGCTTTGACTCAGAAAGCTGGAAATACAGAAGCTGTGGGGTAGGAATATGGCTATTGCTGAAAGCAAACACAGGGATGAGTGATGAAGGAATGTGACCTTTTGCCTTGGACACAGCAGCAGTGGTGTGCTGAAGAAGCCCCATGCTGGCAGGAATCACTGGAAGCTTCTGAATTATTAGTATAAAATTTATTCTAAAAGGAGACAGAACACATGAATGGGAGGAAAAACATGAAGAGCAGAGCTTTCTCTCCAATCTTGCTGGAAAAGGATCGGGACCCTGGGGCAAGGCCTTCAATGGCCAAGGAGAAGGGTACTCCAGCAGGGGAATGGAGACCCACAGTAAGCTAGGAGCAATGGAAAGCTTAAACTCAAAACTGGGTATTAGTTACGCTTTTTCTTGGGTGCTGCTGCTAAGGGCCTTCATTTCTCCATGGATCATACTCTGAGATGTGGGGAAGTGAATAAATAACCAGAAGGGAAAGGTAAGATGCTGCCAAGGGCACTGGGGTTAGCAGCTTTTGGGTACTGAACATGGGAACCCAGAAGGAATGGGATGACATATGATACACCCAAAGGCTGGTATGGAAGAGAGAAACACTGTTTGGGCAGAAAGTTCCAGGTAAAGATGAGACTGCAGCACTGTGCCCAACCACAAAGGGATCTTCTGGGATGTGAGCCATTCCATAATTAATAAGAAGACAAGAGCAGAAGGAAAAAGGATGGGGACAGAAGACTAACTGAAAGCCTAGTCCTGGCCAAATGGCAAGTTTCAGAAAATACAGCAGCAGGTTGTGATCCAAGACAGCAAACATATGTCTTGATTACATCAGGGAGTCTTCCATGGGCAAAAGTGTTGGCATAGAAAAAAGCCCAGAGATGTTGGAAGGAAACAGTGGTAGATACGGAAAGGGGGAATGCTGGCAGAGGAAAGTGATGCTGACAAAGCTAGATAAACAGGACTGAGGAGCTCCTTAACTGATAAAGGTATCACTTGATGTGCTAAGAAGGGTTTACAAAACAGAAGAGACTGTGTTTATGTGCTTGCTGCGATCCAGCAGCAACCTGCAGAGACTTGAGGCTGATACAGAAGAAAGCAGCAAACCCCATATCGCTGGTGTATCCCATTGTGTCCAGCACCTAGAGTGAAATCTCCTGGAAGTGCTACAGCAGCCCCTTCTCCCTGATCATGTCCAGATGCCAACATATCACCACAGCTCCCATGTTCTGGGCCTTACATTCCCCTTAGCTCTCTGCAGGGAATCTCCATGCCATGTTACTCGCACATCTGGAACAGTTCTCACTCTCACAGACTCTCCTCGGTGCCCTTCCTCACTGCCTCTAGATCTCCCTGAAATAATCCCAATTACTTCCAATTTTCCTATATCTAACCATGAGTCACACTCTTGTTAAGACATCTCTCTCCTGACCTGTCTCTACTTCTTTCTTGCAATGATCTGTGTGGATGGTATTTGCCTGGCTAGACTATGGCTCACGATGAAACACTGTTGGTATGTTTTGGAAGAATGGGGATGTGCTCATGGAAACTTGTGGTGAAGATACTTACTAGCAAAAAGGGAGAGGTATTTGGAGTCAATGACTTTGAACTTCGCTTCTGGGTCATTCAGTCTCCACTGGAACAGAGAAACACATTAAAATGAAGTGCTTATGGAGTTAATCAAGCCTGAACAAAAGGAACAGGCACAAGATGTTTTTTCACCAGATGGGTTCACAGCTTCCTCTTTCTTCATCCTATGACCCAGTTTACCTAGCAGCAAAAGACTGGCAATGAGCTGAGATCCCCCAGGACACATCCAAAGTAGGAAAGGACAAAGAGCTGCAGCAGAGACTGAACAGGGCAGAACTATCCTAAGCAAACACAGGAAAAGGTCCTGACATGCAGTGAGGACTATCCCACGTAGAAGTACGTAAGGGCTCTGGCAGGGATTAGATGAATCTCACGCAAAGAGGTGCTGGGGCCTGGGAAAGGGGGGACATGGTTACAAAAGTCATTCCCGAGCTCTGTGAGGACACACATACAAGCACAGCCTTTTGCACAGACTCACTGCTACTTCCACGTGGTCTGTTCCTCTGTCATCCTGCTTGTGCAGCACCTCAAAATAGTACCTGCCTGCAGCTGACAACCTGTGAAGAACAACGTGTCTGTCACTGAGAGCATTATGGAACATTTCTTAGCTTGTCAGCACACAATGAGAGGAGAGCAACCGCACCCCTGAAACAACCTATTCTCAGGGTGAGCAGGGTTAGGGCTGCCAAGAAAACCCAGATGCAGACAGTGGGATAGGGAGCTTCCCTTGGGCACCTCGAGTGCTCCAGCCCCTTCTCAGTTAAGTCTGAATAGCTCCCTTTCAGTATTGCCTGCTGGGTTTTGGCCTCTGGGAAACCTGGCCATTCCAAAGCAGGAAGACGGTTCATATAGAGCAGACTGGATCTGCTGGTGGCTGCCTCCTCCAGGGAAGAAAAATGCAGTGTTGCATTGCTGCAGTAAAGCAGCAAAGCAGCTGGCATAGGTGTGGATGTGTCACTTCAGCTTTGCCGATACCCCAGAGTAATCCCTTTCTCTATACTGCTAAATTCATCAGAACAAGCCTGAGTTTCTTTTCCTTGTCCTTGTGATTTCCTGGCCACGTGTGTAGAGATGGTGGAGCAAGGGGCTCTGCTCACTCACCTCACCATCTTTGACTGTTGGCTTTGAAATTTCCCAAACTCCCCTGGTGCAGTCCACTCCTTCCCTGTCTGTGAAGAGACAGAAAAAGCTATAGTTGAGTTTCTTCCTGGGTTACTGAACTAGGAGTGATAAAGAGGGAATATTGAGCTATTCCTCCGGGGGAAGTTGTCTGTGAGATTGGTAACCTAAGGACAGATTGAATCATGAACACAGAGCTCCCAACAGCACTGCCAATATGTAACTGCCTTAAGATATGTCATGTCATACCCAGCTGGCATCTGTGGTAGTATTGTCTGTAGCTGGGCAGGAAAAGAAACTTGAGTAGTCCAAGGCAGTAAGACAGGAGGGTCTTCATCCCCACAGAACCATTAAAGCCTTGATGGAAGAAGCCATGCCGCATGCACTGTACCTTGCCTACACTGGCCAGCAGCTGGAGACCAGAGGTCTTTTCATCTGGACTCAGCCAGAACTCAGCATTGTCATCCGCAGCAATGGCAAACTGAAACTCCCCTGTCAAGAGATGGAGGGAGTGAGTAGGGCTCTGGGATAAGAGCACAAAATGGATTCTGCTTCTCTAAAATGCTGTCTTTGTCCTATTCCCTTTTTTCCCTTTTGATGTTACCATCCCCACCCCTTTGAACCTCTCTGAATTCTCAAACTCTGCTGTGACTGAAAACAAAACTTTCTTGGTGCAACTGGTTCATTATCCCTTCTGCACTGGCCTCACCTCACATCTAACCTGGAAAGCTAAGATGTCCATTCAAAGTTTCCCGGACTCCTCTTTTGTTTCCAGAGCAAATTCTTGTGTGAGATGCTGTGTCTGGGTGGAGGAATGTGCATGTGGAGCCACAGGGAGACAGAGGTGCTTGAGTCCCACTGTTCTGGCTGGGGTTACAGGGGACCAGGAGATGCAGGTGAGCACTAGGAGGCTTCTCTGGGCAGAAGCATGCAGCTGGGTGATACAAATGTCAGCTGCTGTCAGATGGTATTCATGCACCCAGGGAGCAGCAGGAACATCAATGATGTCATGTACAGTCTTGTGCATGCAAGGGAGGGGGGGAAAGCTCAGGGATTGCTTGTGCTCACGTACACGCCACAGGGCTGTGCATCCATGACAGCATTGTTTTTTATCTACCACTTCCCATCTGTTTTCTGCTGTGCTTTTCCTTGCCACCCTACAGGGGAGGCAGATGTGTTTCCATCCATGCTAAAGCCACAGCCAGACACGCACAGCTAGTTGTGCTGCCCATGTGAGGGACCTGGCATTGGGCTTGCAGGAGTGAGGACACCAGTGGTTTAGCACCAGGAGGTGAAGGAGGCGCAGGTGAGAAGAGACAAGAGCAGCAGCACAGCAGCCTCAGAGCCCTCACCATCGGTGAAAGGATGCAGATAGCCAAATATCCGGAGACCGTAGTTGGTCCATTTTGGGGACACAGCCAGCTTCTTCAGTCTAGTTCGTGTCTGATGCAGAAGAAAAAAATAATACAGTCAATTAGACGTGACAGTAACAAAGAGGGACACAATAACCCTGGGACAGGTGGACAGGGGGAAGTATGAGGTTTGCTCTGGGAGAAGGATGGGGCATGCAGTGTGAGAGAGGCAGCAGCAAAAGAGCAGGCCAGATGAGAGTCAATCTGGAGCAAGTGTTGCTGTGGAGGGGAGAGCTCCATCGGGGATGCTGGCGAGATGGTGGGGATGGGACACAGCAGATGCATGGGTAAAATGAGCCTCCGCACGCAGCAGAGTTGCCACCATTGAACCCTTGCCAAAGTTTCCCACTCCCACAGGAGGACAAAGGAAGTAATGGAGAGGGAGGTGATGGATGCTCAGGAGCAGGAGGACAGACAAGGTGATGGAGAGGGATAGGGACAGGATGTGAAGAGAGCAGGAGTGATGCAAGTGGGAAGCAGATCTGGGAAGCACTGGGACAGAAGGTGTCAGGGTCTTACTCACGTGGGGGAAAAGGGGGAAGTGGAGGTTCTTCCTGAGCTGCTCAGTGGAACTGCCGCACCAGTCCTCGAACACATGCAGATTAGCCTGGCCCTGGAACTGGGGGGTAGAAGTGAGGCACTGTGAATTGCTGTATCCATCCCCTGTGTCCCTCCCCCTGTTCTGCCAACCTCGGCCACAACCATCAGCACTGGAGCACTTGTAAGAGTGAAGGAAGATGCCGCTGCTGCAGCAGGCTGGTCTGCAGGAGACATGGGATCAGGCCTCTGATTCTCATGTGCTGAAGGTTTGGGGTTGGCACAGGTGACAGTCTGGATAGCACCAGGGAGCTGTGATAATGCCTAGGATGTCTCTGTTAAGTGGCTGTCATTCACTCCAGTTTGCTCCACCAAAGAGGCTTTAAACCTGAGGGCTGTGCTCTGAGACTATGGTGTGGGACAACCCTAAAGGGGCAATAGTCCCCCATGATCCACTAAAGAGAGTGTAGGATCTTATGTTCTCCAAGAAAGTGTTTTGGACTCCCTCACCATTTCAGGGCTATTTTCCTGATCCAAGGAAGAAGTGACACCCTAGGGAGGGTAGATGGCCGATCACCCTCTCAAAGCTTGTCAGGAAGGTAAAGCTCATGGAGGATGGTAGGACAGGGAGACTGAAGCTCAGCAGGGTGGGAGCAGCAGCACAGGTGGATCAGTGGGCAGCATGGCCTCCATGTGCTCACAGAGACACAGAAATGAGGGGTGAAGTGGGGGTCCCCTCCTGGACAGTGTAGGAGGGTATGAGTGGCTGTCCCTGCTACCCAGCTGACCCCACCAGGAGGGGCTGTTACTGCCCCATGGAGAGCTGGAGCACAGCTTGGGAAGAGCTTGCTGGCTGCTGTGGGGCTTCAGCAATATACTCCTCAATGGACAGACTTTCTCTTTGTCAGAGGCATTCAGAAGGGAGGAGCTGGCTGCCCCCCAGCAAAGTCCAAGCTCTCTGCCTACAGTCAGTACAGGGATCCTCCTCACAGGACCAGCATCCAACAGTGGAAAATAAACAAGCTGGAGACACTAGAAGCTACCTTAGATGGCAAAATGCTGAAGAAAGGCATAGGTTGCTTTGGGACTGGGGAGGTTTGTCCGTGGCTGCCTTGCCTATATAAGGGCTGTGTGAGCAGCGCTGGGGAAGCTGCCTGAACAGCACCCAGATGTCTACAGATGGCAGCAAATTCTTAGTTTTGGCTGGGGAGTCTCTCCGGGGCTGAAGCAGCACGGTGAGGGAGGACCCAGCCCCTCGGTGTGCTCCTGGCAGAGAAACCACTTCACTGAGTTATGTCTCCCAGGGCAGTGGGTTGGGGTTTCATTCTGTAATGAACCGTGGCTTGAAGGAAAGACTCGGAGCAGGCTTGGCCTGGCACCAGCTTATGCAGTAATGCTCCCTGCGAGCTGTGGGCTTTAGTCATGCACGTGAAAACTGTCTCTATGCGCCAGGCAAAACACATTCACAACCACTGCTGTTCTTGAGCGGTCTCTCATCAGCCCTCTCTCACTGGTGTCTGCACTGCCAGGGCTTGAGCGATGCCTGCAAGCCCCACTACTATCTCCTTTCCTCCTCTGTTGACATCCCCCTCAGCCTGGATTCTGCCCATCAGGCAAGAGGAAAAGCAGTGAGACAAAGTGGATGCAATTCCCCAGAGTGATGCTGCACAAAATCACAGAGGGCTCAGGGTGATGGATGCAGCCAAGAGAAACCTGGGACTCTGCAGGGATTTGCGATACAAATAAATCACTGCAAATGTGACAGACACTGAATTGGAACATAATTGCTGTGCAGTCCCATGTCCCTTGGCCAAATCCAGGTTCACACCCAAGGATCTTACGCTACTTTTCTCAGCCAAATCAAATAATGACAATTGCTGTTTCTTGTGGAGTATGAAGTGAGGAGAACAAGCTGAGCTCCCACAGCAAGTCACTGCCAGAAACTGAGTCTTAACAGCAATCTGCTTCTATCCACAAGTCATGCTGGTTTTTCTTCTTAAGAGAACTGCCTGCACACTGCAGACAGCAGGATCAGATCTCTATCAACTGTGGCACAACACTCCCACACTGTGGAGAGGCTGGCACTGCAGTGGTAAAGACAGACCCAGGGCATGCTCCTGAGGCTAAGGACTGCAATGGAGCTGGGCCGGCTTTGGCAAGGGGCAGCCCAAATGTCAAAATCTGTATGAGGGAAGTCCCAAAAGAGTGGCTAGACTTGCTCAAATATTTGCAAGGGAAACTTGGACCAGTCCCATTCTAATACAATACTTGACTGCAAAGTTTGGCAGCTACTAATAAATAAGGCAAACACCAACTGTACCGGGTACTCCATCAGTGGTGTAAAAGATGATCCCTAAGACGGTTAGCCCAAAACCTCTGTCTCCAAGGTCTTTACAAAGCCACCTGAGAGGAGATTCTAATAAGATGATAGTTTTGCTTTCCTGCACTTAAGCTATTAGAAATAGTTAACATAAATAGCAAGCATTTCTTGCATGCAGTTTCAGAATCTTTTCTAAAGCCACAGATTTCCTCCTGAGCTACAGCAGCCTAACTTACTCTCTGCTTCCTCTGAAAGGGAAAAGGAGAACGTTACTGACAGATAAGTGCTGGCGGCCCAAAGCGCTGCTCTGGGACTGAAAACTGAGCTCAGCTTTAATTTTAGGCCCCCACAAGTCATCAGTGCAGCAGCTGTTTTGAAACCCTATCACCTCTGTCCCTCCAACTCAACTCATGGCTGCCCATTGCAGGCAGCTGAGAAATTCCTCCGTTTGCTATTTGGGTCTCCTGTGGAACGTGCAGTAAAAATCTCCTGTTTCTGCAGATTGCAGTAATAGATAAATGGCACCATCATTCCCAGTTCAGGCACACAGCTCCTGAGAAATGCCAATGGACCTTCTAAAACATGGCTACTGATTCTGACTTCCCAGCTTAGAATAACCTGGCCCTGGCTTTCAAAGGGCTGGAAATTTAGGACCTGGTGAGCAACAAATTAAGTTCTCCATCTCCCCTTAAAAACATCTGCTTTGAAAATTTTGGATAGACTGATTGGACCAGAAGCAGGAATAGAAGCCAAGAGTATGGATGTTCAGTGGGAGCTGGTACTACGTGGTCTGTGCACTCCCATTTAGAGGGCTCCTCGTGCCCTTGGCTCCACCCCTGTCCCAACCCCACCTTCCAGCTGCTTATCTCCACACTGCTGAAATAGCAGCACTGCAAGAACCCAGCTCGGATCCAAAATGGGCACAGGTCATGCACCAAGGGCACTGTCAGCACATCATGAGTACAACCAGGAGCACACACATGCAGAACTGTTCTTCCCAAGGAGGCCTGGGCAGGTTGACACCCTCCTGAGCACAGACCATGGACACACAGTGACAGGGCTGCCCGAGAGAAGGGAGGGCTGAACTTCAACAAATGCAGGGAGGTAGGAGCTGGGACAGGCCCTTACTTTGGTGCTGATGCAGCAGCCTCCATGAATTTGGGAGTACAGCCATGCTCTGAGCCCTACTGCCAACCCTTCCTGCAGAGCATGATGAATTAACACCCTTCTGCAGCCCTGGCTTTGTATTAAGAGACTGGGGAATTTCTGCTTCCTTCTAGCAAGGAATTTTACATTATCAGCCCCTCCTAAGGAAACAGACCATAAAGAAGGATCAGGCATGCAGAAGAGTGCAAACCCCTCTTCCTACCCCAAACCCTATCATGTCAAAACCATCCAGGGAAGTGGCACCACACAGCCAGCCCCTCCTGGTGAGCAAGGACTGGGACAAGCAGCAAAGCTGGAAGGATTGCAGCAGTGGAGGCACTACCTGCTGCTTTGGCATCACGGAGGCAAATCATCTGCATAGCTGCGAGCAGCCCAGGGAATGCACTGCGCCGGGGATGATAAACAGGGCACAGAGAGGCCCTGAGCCGGAGAAGAAAGGCGACATTGTGCTGCCAACTGGAAACTCCGGAGTTCGTAAGACTCTTCTGTCTCTGCAGAGCGACCGCAGCCCCTCCTCCTGCTGCCCCAGCTCCCCTGACTGGGTGACATTCAGCAGCCAGCAGCTGGGCTTCGTTCACTGCAAGCTCTGCCACGCCGGGCACTTGTGGGAATCCATCAAGACAAACTAGTGACAAAGTTCTCCTGCCCCACCAAGCCCTGATGGGAGCAAGCTGGGAGGGAAGGGACATGGGCAGAGACAAAGCCAGCAGCAACAGCTTTGTCTTTTAGTCCTCTTAGGAAAGGATGCTTCCTCTTGGGGCAGGTCTGGTAGCAGGAGGATGCCCTAGCACAACACTCCAATTCTGTGCAGCGCCTATGCACCCGTACAGACATTGCCTTCAAAGGGCTGTGCTCCTGGACTTCCCTTGCACCTTCCAGTGAGAAGGAAGTCCTGAGGCTGTGCAGACATGAAGTGAAGTGGACATTTTAAATGCACGCCAGCGCTGCCTGGACCTTTGACCTCTTAGAACTGAACAGAGGCTTTTGCAGAGGCAAATGAGAATGACTGGGCTAATCAAGCACATATGTGAAAATCCTCCCCCCCACACCTGTGGCAGTGCCAAATAGTGACACTCATGGCCCCAGGGTGCAAGCTTACAGCCAGGCACCTTTCTGAACTAATGAAACAAAGCTCCCCACGTCTCTCTGGCCTGAGGAGGCATTGGGTGACACTGGGAGCTGGACAGCTTTGCTCTAAAAGGGACAGTGAGGGTCGAGATCATCTGTATGAACTCAGGAGTGAGGATGAACCCCGCTTTCCCACCATACACAAGGTATAACTTCATTAGGGGTTTCCTACACACACTTTCCCATCACATTATCCCAGGCTGAAGACTTAAAGTGTTGATTTAATCTCCTCAAACTGAATGGGGAGAATTGAAACCTGTTCTTTTTCGGCTGTGCTGGCTGCCAGCTCACCTTGCAACCCTGTTAATTATTTATGTGTCAAGAATATACCTCTTCATTCAAACAAAGCCCAGCTCCCTGACCTGTGGGAGGCAACCTGCTGCCCTCACCCCAGGAGGCAGGCTGCAATTGAGTTCTTAGAGATGCTGCTGGGAGAGCACAATAGGATCATAGACCCTGGCTAATTAATTTGGGCAGAGTTACAGAAAAACTTAATCCCTAGGAGATGAGGAATTTCAGCCGGTGGTTAAGGGGACAGCAAGCGGCTCTGTGCAGGGCCGTGTCTGTTGATCCCTCTGCATCTCCTGCAGCTGGTGCTGGTAAACTGCTGACCTCCGTCTGCCGTCAGGGTGGCTTACAGAGATAAAGAGAAAACTGGTGAAGGAGGTGAGTCCTTCACAGAGCACTGTTAGAGAGAAGGACCAATAGGGGAGAATAGCAGGAAGTGTGTGGGGCACAGCCACACAAACCACCTCCCCAGAGTGGTGTCTGGAATGCTCTGGAGCTCAGACTCTTCTTGTGGAGCATCTGCTGCACACTGTCTGACACACGGCATGGGGGGACTTGGGCACCCACAGCCGTCTGAAGAGCACTCCTCCCCAACAGGGAGCAGTGCAGGACAAGGCAGGAGACACGCAGCACCTCTCCAGAACTGGGGCCATCCTGCACGGCACACCTCAAGTCCTACCCCTTCCCTTTGACCAGAACACGTCTCTGCTTGCTCCACCCCTGGCAGCAGCACACCAGGGTGGCAGGTTTGCAGGCTGGTGGGCGCCCTGCCCAGTGCCATGGCATGCAAGGGCATGAGGCTGCCCCACCAGCAAAGCAGAGGGGTTTGCACATCAGCCCTGTGCTAAGCACATACCTTCACCCAAGCCACATCGCATACCATGCCAACTGCATTTCCAACCGCACCGCACACCACAGCCAGCAGGTTTCAAGACTAATGTGCTCTTGTGAAATCACCAGGTAGGGAGGGGATCAGAGACATTGAGCAAAGCCTCATAGAGGTTGGTGGATGCCGCGCAGAGCCCGTATCACCCAGTGCTGTGGGAGAGGGGAGCATTTAATGCTCCATGTCATTCCTGTGCATAGCAGCAGTCCTGACCCTGGTGTCCCACAGGCTCTTTGCCCACAACTGCTCATCTGCCTGCAAGGCCAGAGGAAGCCCCCAGGCTCCAGGTGGGACCAGCATTCACTTGCCAGAGTCAATGCAGCAGAACAGATCTGGTCTGGTTCTGGGCACTGGAGGGTGACTGATGCTGGCTGCTTACAGGAAGGCTTTAGCTTATGCTGCAGAGACCTAAACTGCTCAGCACGATGGCTGGAGGGCAGTGCTTTCCCTCTATGGGCCAGCAATCATCTCGATCATCTAGTGCCCTAAGTGCAGGGACAGCAGCCTGCTCCGGCCCCAGGGGAGCCACAGAGGCCCTTCTAATTTGTGCGGGTCTCTAATCACCGTGAGGAATTTAGTGAACTGACTCCATCAGCTAAATGCCCCCTGGCTGGTGTCCCTCTCATTATAAGCAGGCTGCATTGCTCCCTTATCCGAAGAGGAACGATGAGATAAGGGAACAGGGGAGGAAAGAATAAATGAGGCATGAAGGAAACAAAGGGAATGTTTACACCAGTCTTCAAGGGTCACCAGAGAAGGTCTCTGTTTATCAGAAGTGTCACTGAAGTGGAGAAATCTCTACCTATGACACACAGAGATCGGATAGCAAGCAAATGCCAGAGCAAGAGCAGAGTGTGACACTTCTGCATGCCACAGTCATGTATTTGCTTGTTGAGTGCTTGGCCCTACCCACTCCCAGCCCTGAACAAACTTCACCTTTCAGGAAGGTAGCGGGCTCCCTGATCCCAGGGAATGGTGGGTGGGTCCTCGGTGCCTTGGAGGCTGGTGGAGACGCCAAATTATCAGGAATCTGGACACTCCTGTCTTTCCAGATGATTACTCAGGCCTGTAAGTGTTATTAAGCCAGGAAGGGGTGATAGGGAATGGACTTCTAGTGAAGCAAATGACCTGCCTTCTGCTCTTGCTGCACAGGTCTCTAGCTACAGCTCCCTCACACAAAACACTGGAGAAAGGCACCCACCTCTGGCATCCACAGGACAGGGTTGTTCACACCTGCATAACTTGATTTATTCCTCCCACCTCTTTGCAGCTCTGGTTTCTGAAATACAAACAGAGAAAAATCAATATAACCTGATAAATGACCCAGCACTGACACCTACACAAGAGGGCTCAAGAACATGTGAATAAAAGGCAAATTCCCAAGTTCCCTTTCCAAAGGGCTGACCAGCTATTATGGCCACAGTGGGGTGAAAATGCTCCCTGGCTTTTTTGACAGCAAATTTCCATGGTTAGCTATTGAGGGGAAAGGATACCAGCACTTGGTAACTGTTTGCTAGCACAGAGTTAAAACTTGTGCCATTCTCCTTTTTCTTCTCTCTTCCCACCCTTGCTTCAAAATAGCCCAAGCAATAGTTCTTCCAACACTTAATTCAGGCAACAGTACCGAGATGTGCTTCACTAAAGAGCTACAAACTCCCCTGTGTTTTCATTTCTGCTTCCATCTTGCTTAGTGCAATCTTCCTGTGCCACATACTGAGCCAGCTGCAGCCCACTGCTACGGCTTAGTACATCTAAAATAACTTAATTGACTACAGTGGAGTCATTGTACGTTCGCACTGCTGTGAGTCAGCTCAGATTTTGCCCTGTGGCATGCTCTCTTTCCTGCGTGAAAGAAGAGCTGTCTCTTAGAGCCAGCAGCAGAAAGGAAGGTCTGCCCTTCTAAATGCTTGGAATACATCCCAAGCCTTCTCACCTGCTGTCCTGGCTTCTGCGGAGAGTAAACCTGAGCACTTGGGTCTCCACCTGGGACACTGGTGTCTGCCAGAGCCTTAGCCAGCTCCCTCCAGCTTTCGTATCCTGTGCGGAGGAAACAGAGATGCCAGAGTAGAGGCTAAAAAAAGAAGCTGCAGCAGTTAGCAGAATAAACTGGTGCTTTACAGGGCTGAGAGACCACTGACACTCTGGAATGGTCCACCAGAGACCAGAAGCTGTTTACGTTACTTGGAGTTGGCAGACTGACATAGAGAGAAACTGCCTCTGTCTTCCCTAAAAGCACTCCCCTCCTTCTTATTAATTTGTTCTATTAAAGATTTATCACAGTTCTAAAATACATGTCAGAGATTTCATTAATCACCACAGGGCTGGGAACCTCTTTGTAGATCCCTCAGATAATCCCACTGGTCAAGCTAAAAACATCCAACTTCTTTAACCAGCAAACCCAAAGAAAAATAACCAGACTACTAATCAGTTTAAACATCAAAATAAAATTATTCCAAATATGCACCTATTTGCACAATAAAAGCTTTCAATCTTCTTTTATTAAAGGAAATGATGGCAAAGTATGCACCTGATGGGACATTCAGCTGTAATGCCTAAAATATTAGCAGTGATGCAGTTAAGGTCGTCACTATTTAAGTGAAGTCAGCTTCCAGGTTCAAAACAACTTCATTTGATGCTCCCACCACTCCCAGTCTGCTCGATCCAGGAGCTAGGTCAATTTTGGTTTCCTTCTACAACTCCGTTGGCCTCCTGTGCTCACGAGGGACAAAGACGAGCAGATGCAGCATAACTCTGTAGCTCTCCCTAATTGCTGTCCATACTACTAACAAGACGGTGCTGATGAGCAGAGCTCACGCCTCTCAGCAGTGTTACGGTGGCTCTCACTATGCAGTTTTCAATCTGCTAAACATTTTGGCCCTGAGTGAGCAATGAACCAACCTGCCAGCAGCTCAGCACTCTGCCCACACAGCACGACAGCTTAATTGTGAAAAGCACAAGTGCCAAAACCTCCACGAGCACTTGGTTCATGCAGGCTGGTGGCAGACCAGCTCAATACCCACTCACTAGGGAGCAGAGCCAGGCTTTCTGCCCGTTTTCTTTAAACATGGAAATCATCCCTAAAGCTCTAGGAGGTCCAGAGAAACTGGCTGCCTTGGTATATAAAGGGAACCATCCTGCCAGCTTCAAGTGAGCATTGAGACAAATGGTCTCAGTCCTCCTTACTGCTCCTGCAGCTAAAAGTGGTGGGGACACGGTCTGAGGAGGCAGCACAGCCCACTGTGGGGGAAACCTTGACTGTTTTGGAGGCAGCATACCCATCTTCACCCTGCCCACCCAACCCAGCAGTAAGATATGGACCTGCTGGAGAAGATCCAGAGGAGGGTTCCAAAAGTAAGCAGAGGGTTTAAGCATGTCTCCTGTGAGGAAAGGCTGAGAGTTGGGGTTGTTCAGCCTAGGGAAGAAACAACTCTGTGGAGACCTTACTGTGGCCCTTCAGTACTTAAAAAGGGCCTTTAAGAAATATGGGAAGACTTTTTAGCAGGGACTGTTGTGACAGGATGAGGGATGATGGTTTTAAACTAGAAGAGGGGAGATTCAGGCTGGATGTGAGGAAAAAATTCTTTACAGTGAGGGTGGTAAAATACTGGCACAGGTTTCCCAGAGAAGTATTGGATGCACCATCCCTGGAGACATTCAGTGCCAGGCTGGATGTGGTTCTGAGCAACCTGATCTAGTTGAAGATGTCCCTGCTCATTGCAGTGTGGTTAAACTAGATGACCTTTGAAGGACCTTTCCAGCCCAAACTATCCTATGATTCTATTCTACAGGAGATTCACTGTGGCTTAAGAAAGAAACGTGCTCCATCTGTTTACTTTGGAGGGCATTTACAAGGCACATGAGAGCTCCAAACCACCTCTGAGCTATGCAGAGGCCCAGGCAAACCCAAACCAATCCCAGGAACCAGAATTCACAAATGATCCTTTGACCAACCACTCTCTCTGTTTGTGCTAAGCTCTTGGCCTGTTATTGCACCTAGAAACAGAGCTGCAAAACTCTGCCTCTACTCCCTTCTGAACCTGGTTCTGTGGGGTCTGGCACAGGTGAGCAGGAAGCTAAGATGTTGAAGCTGGCTCCTATGATGTGGAGGAAAAAAGGGACAATAAATGAAAAGAAAATGAAAGAAATGTGGAAAATGTGAAGGTAGGTAGTCAGAGATACAACTGAGACCCAGAGGCAACTATGCTGTCCTGCTTTCCTGATGTGAGTCTTGGCTTAGATATGTGGGATTCAATTCAGGCCCTGTTAGATGCTGAATGACCACACATTTCTGATCTAGTTCTTCCCAATCTCAGATTCTAATAGGAAACTGTGAGTTTAAATCTATGGCTAAAAATCTCAACATCAATACTTATCTTCTGCAGAAGACTGAAAAAGTCTGACACCCTGGGTGCGTAATGAAGCAGGAACTGCTATTTGTATGTCCTGAAGCTGGACATACAGCCCCACTTGCAATGGGGCTGAAACAGACTTTGTAGTTTGCATGAAATTCAGCACTCACTACTTCATTGGCTCATTGTACTAGTTGGAGATGGAAGCACACTTTTTCTTTGGAGGAGAGAGACCCAGAAGAGTGTGACTGGCTAAATAAGAGGGAAACCAAGCACAAATTCAGCATGGGTGGAAAACGGATTAAGAGCAGCCCTTAAGAGACCTGGCAGTGTTAGTGGACATGAAGTTCAACATGACCCAGCATTGTTCACCTGCAGCCAAAATGCCAATCTTATGCTGGACTGCATCAAAAGTAGCTTGGCCAGCAGGTCAAGGGAGGGGATTCTCCCCCTCTACTCCACTCTTGTGGCACCCAACCTGCAGTTCCTGCATTCAGCTCTGGCGCCCCCAAGAGGGACATGGACCTGCTCAAGTGAATCCAGAAGAGCGACACAAAGATGATCAGAAGTCTGGAGCACCTCTCCTATGAACACAGGCTGAGAGAGTTGAGATTGCTCAGCCTGGAGAAAAGAAGGCTCTCGGAAGACTTTAAAGCAGTTTCTAGTACCTAAGGGGGGGCTACAAGAAAGCTCAGAGGAGCTTTTTACAAGGGCATGTACTGACAGGATAAGGGCAAATGGTTTTAAATATAAGAGGGTAAATTTAGATATTACATCAAGAAGTTCTTCACTATGAGGGTGTTGAGGCACTGGCACAGGTTGCCCAGGGAAGCTGTGGCTTCCCCATCCCTGGCAGTGCCCAAGGCCAGGTTGGACGGGGCTTTGAACAACCTGGTCTAGTGGAAGGTGACCCTGCCCATGGCAGGGGGTTGGAACTGGGCGTGCTTTAAGGTCCCTTCCAACCCAAACCCTTCTATGGCTCTATGCAAATAAAAAAGCAGCAACAAAAGTCAGTTCATTCTTGGGATTCACTGAGAGAGGACACCAAGAGAAGCAGGTTTCTCTGCTTTGTGCAGAGGTTATTTGGTTTCATTGTTAAACTCAGGACTATGCTGCTCTGTGGAATAAGTTCAGGACAAAGCATCAGGAACCTGCCTCTCCTGGGAAGAGGATGCTGGCCACTAGAGCCAGGCGCTCCAGCTACTCCAGTGCGGTGACTCCCAGGCTCATTGGCGCTTTGGTTCCTGTGCATGGCTGGCACCGAGCCTGCCTCACAGCAAACACAGAGGCCCAGCTGCACGCAAGTGCCAACGGCTGACATTTGTCTGACCCTTGGAGAAGAGAAGAAAGGGGGGGAATTCTTTGTGTTGTACAAATATTTACCTAACACTTACATCAGCCAAACATAGGGGAAACAAAAGAGTGGGGAATTAATCTGGAGGTAGAGATTTCCTTACCGGGTAATTTGTACTTTGGCAAGCTAATTCTCCAGCGTGGTAGGAAAGACATTTCAAAAAGTAATAGGATAAACAATCCCCTCAGAGAAAGCTCTTGGTGCTGCAGTTCCTTCTCAAAAGATTGGTATTTCCATGGGGCAACCCTGAAGGAGGACCTGGCTTTGCCCATGCTTTCCTTGCTAGGAGAAGAGAGGGTGTAATAGAAGAGGACATATCTCCTCCAGCTTCCTACAGCCAAAAGACTTGTTGAGGCCAACTTCTGACCAAGGTTTTGCCCATCACAGATCACAGGATTCAAAACATCACCTTGCAGGTAGGGGGCAGAAAGGCAGATGTGTTCATGTCAATGACAGTGGGTTTGCACAGAGGGCACTCAAACTACTTTTTTTTACCCTCAAGCCAACCTCTAGGACATTTTCCCTATATTTACAACCAGACACTTGGCCAACCTCCCTTCTACAAGCAGAGATCCACCTTTCTTTCTACTTATGTGCACTGGTGGTCCAAGGTTCAAGCCTCATAGGGATCAGCTACTGCCCAAAAACATGAAGGTCGTGGCTCTTCAGAGCAAAGTAGTCCTTTTTCTCCCTGTTCCCATCAGGCAGGCTAGCAGCTGCCTGGTGGGGACCCAAATCATAGAATCATAGAATAGTTAGGGTTGGAAAGGACCTTAAGATCATCCAGTTCCAACCCCCCTGCCATGGGCAGGGACACCTCACACTAAACCATGCCACCTAGGGCTCTGTCCAACCTGGCCTTGAACACCGCCAGGGATGGAGCATTCGCAACTTCCCTGGGCAACCCATTCCAGTGCCTCACCACCCCTACAGGAAAGAACTTCTTCCTTATATCCAGTCTAAACTTCCCCTGTTCAAGTTTTAATCCGTTACCCTTTGTCCTGTCACTACAGTCCCTAACGAAGAGTCCCCCCCCCAGTATCCTCATAGGCCCCCTAATGCCTACTGGGGCTAAGCCTCAGCTGCCCCTCTGGATTTGAGATGGGCAGCCCTCAGGGCTTGATTTTGCTTCAGAGAATAGAGGCAGGTGGACACAAAGAAAAGGAAAAGAGGCAGATGAGGAGGCTGAGACAGATCTGCATTTACAGCAGAAACACCTGCAAAAGGCAGCCGGTCTGGAGCCAGTTGCCTGCAGAGCCAGTGAACCAACTGGTAAGGGACAGAAAAGCTGTAACAAGAGGAAATACGGTGAAGATGTTTCTTGCCTTGGGTCC